TATGAGTTTCAATAGTCTCTTAGTGAAGTCATCTGCAAATAAGGATAGTTTGGCTTCCTCCTTTCCAATTTGTATCTCTTAGATTCTTTTTCCTTGTCTAATGGCTCTGGCTAAATCTTCCAGGACTATATTGAATAACAATGGTGAAAGTGGGCATCCTTGTCTGGTTATGGATCTTAGTGGGAATGCTTCCAACTTTTCACCATTCAATAAGATGTTGGCCACAGGTTTGTCATAAATTGCCTTGGTTGTGTTGAGGAATGTTTCTTCTATACCCATTTTGCTTAAGGTTTGTTGTTGTTGTTATTGTTGTTTGACAAGCAGAGTTAGATAGTGAGAGAGAGAGAGACAGAGAGAAAAGTCTTCCTTCCATTGGTTCACACTACAAATGGCTGCTAGGGCCAGCACGCTGCACTGATCCGAAGCCAGGAGCCAGGCACTTCCTCCTGGTCACCCATGTGGGTGCAGGGCCCAAGCACTTGGGCCATCCTCCACTGCCTTCTCAGGCCACAACAGAGAGCTGGACTGGAAGAGGAGCAACTGTGATAGAATCCGGTGCCCCAACCGGGACTAGAACCTGCAGAAGGAGGATTAGCCAAGTGAGCTGCGGCGCTGGTTTGCTTAAGGTTTTTAATCATGAAAGGATCTTGTATTTTATCAAATGTTTTTTTCTTCACCAACTGACATGATCATATTATTTTTTGTCCTCAGTTTATTTATGTAATGTACTACATCTGTTGATGTGTGTATATTGTACCATCCCTGCACACCACAGATAAATTCCACCTAGTCTGGATGAATGATTTTTCTGATATGTTGTTGGATTCAGTTAGCTAGTATTTTGTTGAGAATTTTTGCATCTATGTTCATAGGTGTTCATCTACAGTTCTCTTTCTTTGTTGTATCTTTTTCCAGTTTAAGAATTAAGGTGATATTGTCCTCATAGAAGATTTTTCAGAGAATTCCCTCCCTTTCAGTTGTTTCAAAAAGCATGAGAAGAATTGTAATTAGTTCTTCTTTAAAAATCTGATACAATTCAGCAGTGAAGCCATACAGTACTGGGCTTTTCTTTTTTGGGGAAGTTCTTTATTACTGATTCAATTTCTTTCTTGGTTATTGGTCTGTTTAGGTTTTCTGTGTCTTCATGATACAATTTTGCTAGATTGTATGTGTCCAGGAACCTAACCCTTTCTGCTAGATTTTTAAGGTGGAAAATCCATAGTCAGTGGCCTGGGAACATCATTGTTCTCTCTATGGACAAGACAAGCTAGCAGGGCAGAGTGGATCCTCTACAGCCCATAACAATGGGAACTTTTGTGCTGAAAATGCGTGAAATCTATGACTTTGTGATAGGTTGCAGGGTATAGCTGAGCAATCATTGAGTCTGTCACCAAAGGCTCAAAGCTCCCTGATTGCCTGGGGTGGGTCATTTCATCACCATCTGTGCTCACACTAAGTGCTGCAAAGATCCTTCCTGTGATTCATGCAGCAGTGCGGGTAGGTGTTGCACCCACTGTGGGCTAACCCTGTGCATTGATCACCTATGAAGAGAGGAGGTGAGGGTGTGATTATGCCCATAGAGGTGATTGTATCCTCCACCCTTGTGGATATAGTGGACATCTACCATGCTCAACTTGCGTGCCACACTGGATATCCCTCTCTCTCTGGAGCACTGACCAGAGCTCCCTAGCCACACCCAGCCCATGCTTCTGTGTATTCAATGAAAGAACAAGCACTCCACTAAGCCACAGAGGCATAGTTCAAAGATAAAAGCCATCAAAGGAGAAAAACAACAAGTATGCCCAAAAATGCTTAAAAATAAATGCAGAAACTCAAGAAGCAAGAATAAGGAAGAAAATGTAACTCTCCTAAAAGAACACATCAACACTTCAATATTAGAATGTGAGCATGAAAAAACTGATGAAATGCCTGAAAAAGAATTCAAAAGATTGATCATAGGATTACTCAGAACTGATGAGAAGCAAATTTACAAGTTGAAGAGATCAACACATGACATGGAAGAAAATATTCTATGAAATCTGGGGTTTAGAAAATAAATCAGTCTGAAATATTAGAAATGAAGAATTTAGTGTGTCAAATAAAAAAATAGCGAAAACCTCAAAAACAGACTTGGTGAGGCAAAGAAAGAATATGTGAGCAAGAATACAGAACTTTGGAAATATCTCAGTAAAACCAAAAGGAAGAATTAGAAATTAGAAAAAAAAATTTTTAAAGTTGCCATTTATGAAATGAATCAAACTACCCAACATATGGGTCTTAGAAGTTCCCTTAGGACTTAGAAGTTTCTAAAGGTATAGAAAGAGAGAATGGATTAGAAGGCCTATTCAGTCAAATAATTATAGAAAACTTCCCTAATTTGTATAAAGAAAGGGATGTCTAAGTAGACGAGGAACACAGAACTCTTAATAGGCATGACCAAAAAAGATCTTCACCACAACACATTGTAGTCAAACTTTCAATAGTAAAACATAAAGAAAAGTTTTGAAAATATGTACAAGAAAAACATCAGATTACTTTCAGAGGATCTCCAATTAGACTCACAGCTGACTTCTCTTCAGAAACCCTACAGGGGGGACCAGCACTATGGAATAGGGAGTAAAGCCGCCATCTGCAGTTCCAGCATCTCATATGGGTGACAGTTCAAGTCCTGGCTGCCCACTTCCAATCCAGCTCTCTATTAAGGCCTGGGAAAGCAGTAGAAGATGGCCCATGTCCTTGGGTCCCTGCATCCGCATAAGAGACCTGGAAGAATCTCCTGGCTCTTGGCTTTGGTCAGTGCAGCTCCGGCAGGTGCAGCCATTAGGGGAGTGAACCAATGGATGGAAGACCTCTTTCTCTTTCTCTCTGTCTCTCTCTCTCTCTCTCTCTGTCTCTCTCTCTCCCCCTCCCCCCCTTCTGCATTTCTGTAAATCTGCCTTTCAAATAATTATAAATAAATCTTTAGGAAAAGAAAAAGAAACCCTACAGGTTAGGAGAGAATGAAGAGACATAATTAATGGATCTAAAGGGAAACATAGACTCCAATACAATAGTAGTGGGGGACTTCAACACCCCACTTTCACCAATGAAAAGATCAACTAGATAGAAAATCAATGAAGAAGCAACAAAGTTAATATACACTGTAGACCAAGTGGTCCTAACTGATATCTACAGAACCTTTCATCCCACAGTTTCAGAATACACATTATTTTCATCAGTGCATGGAACTTTCTCTAGCATAGACCATATGCTAGTCGATAAAGCAAGTCTCAGCAAACTCAAAAAATTGAAGTCATACTATGCATCTTTTCTGACCACAATGGAATGTAACCAGAAATTAACAACTCATGAATCTCTTAAAAATATGGAAACACATGGAGACTGAACAACATGCTCCTGAATGAACATTAAGCCATAGGAGAAATCAAAAGAGAATTCAAAAAATTTCTGGAAATGAATGACAATGACAGTACAATATATCAAAACTTACAGGATATAGCAAAAGCAGTGTTAAGAGGGAAATTTATAGCAATTGGTGTCTACATCAATGAATTTGAAATGCATCAAATAAATAAGCTATCAATGCATCCAAGATATAGAAAAACTGAACCCAAAATTAGGAGAAAAGAAATAATTAGAGAAAAAATAAACAAAATGAAACAAAAAATACAAAAGATCAGTGAAATCAAGAGCTTGTTTTTTGAAAAAAAAATAAACAAAACTGATATACCAGTGGCCCAACTAACAAAAAATAGAGAAGACCCAAATTAATAAATCTGAGATGAAAAAGGAGATGTCACAATGGATACCACAGAAATAAAAAGAATCATCAGGAATTACTGCAAACAGCTATACTTGTCGTACCTTAACTTCCCTGAGATCAATTTCCTCACCTACAAAATAGAGGTATAAGAGGATACAAACCTGTACATGTAAACTGCATTAATACATCCTAACCTCTTGCCTCCCAAGTTCTAGTCAGGAAAGAAAAATACATAAAGAATGGGAAATTACTGTTACCTCATCCTACATAATAACTATGTTTCTAAAGTTTATATGAAGTCATATTTGTGTCTTCTGTAAGGAGATTACAAACATTGAGCCTGTTTCTTAAAGGTCTATGATTTTCAGGAATATCACTGCCTTCTGAAATGTTTCCTTTGGTAGCACATGAAAGACTCATGATTCTGACTTTGAACATCTTTCTGTAGAAAGGAACTTCAAAAGTTCCTGGAAAACTGGAATTAAAAGCTAAGTTTACTTTGTTGGGAAAAAATTTAAATTCACCTGTACTTATCTTTATCATATGTCTTTCCATAAAATTTTTGAAGATTCTTCTACACATGGAATTCAAACATTTTTGTCACCAAAGAAACTTGTCTTTTAGTTCTGTTTCCCACAAAATTTAAGATACTATTTGTGAGGAAGAAAGATAAGAGAAAGAGGAAGAAATAACTCTCATCCACTAATTCATTCCCCAAATGCCCAAAGTGCCAGGGCTCAGCCTGGGCCAAAGCCTGGAACTGGAAATGCAACCCAATTAGCTGACCCAACAGCACTTCCTACCAGGGTCTGCATTAATAGGAAGCTGGAGTAAAAAAAAATAAATAAATAAAAATAAAAAAAAAAAAAGGAGTCAGGAATTGAACCTAATTGAACCTAGATACTCCATTGTGAGAAGCAGACTTCATTATTGGCATTGTAATATTTAGGGTAAGCACTAGTTGCAACTGCATGACTTTTTGAAGGTACCCTTGTATAAGTAAATGTGCAGATGGGAAAGTTTCCACCCTTAAAACACTGACCCATTCCCATCTCATTGCTTAATCTCTAGGCGTTTTTCTTCTGTCTATCTATTGACAGCTCAAGCCCTTCTTCTTCTAAGTGAGATTCTGACCTTGCTACCTTTCTTGACACTAAGAAGAAGTATGAAAACCAGCATCTGATTCTTTTAATCAAGACCTCTCTTTAAAAACATATTGGTGATTTATGCCTAATATATGGCTACTGGAAACTGGACAAGAGTAAGTCAGTTTATCCTCATGAGCTTCTCTTCCTTACCCACCGAAATTCAATCATTCCTCTTCTTAACACTTCTAATCATCTACCTGGTCACCCTAACGGGAAACAGCCTCATCATTCTGGTTACACTGGCAGATCCCATGCTGCACAGTCCCATGTACTTCTTTCTCAGGAACTTGTCCTTCTTAGAGATTGGCTTAAATCTAGTCATTGTGCCCAAAATGCTGGGGACCCTACTTGCCCAAGATACAACCATCTCTTTCCTTGGCTGTGCCACTCAAATGTATTTCTCCTTCTTCTTTGGGGTAGCTGAATGCTTCCTCCTGGCCACCATGGCATATGACCGCTATGTAGCCATCTGCAGTCCCTTGCACTACCCAGTCATCATGAACGAAAGGACACGTGCCAAACTGGCTGCTGCCTCCTGGTTTCCAGGCTTTCCTGTAGCTTCTGTGCAGACTACATGGCTTTTCAGCTTTCCATTCTGTGACAATAAGGTGAACCACTTCTTCTGTGACAGCCCTCCTGTGCTGAGGCTGGTGTGTGCAGACACAGCACTGTTTGAGGTCTACGCCATCGTGGGAACCATTCTGGTTGTCATGATCCCCTGCTTGCTGATCTTGTGTTCCTACACTCGCATCACTGCTGCCATCCTCAAGATTCCATCAGCTAGGGGCAAGCGTAAAGCCTTCTCTACCTGTTCCTCCCACCTCCTTGTGGTCTCCCTTTTCTATGTGTCTTTAAGCATTACTTATTTCCGGCCTAAGTCAAATAATTCTCCTGAGAGCAAGAAGCTTCTATCATTGTCCTACACTGTTGTGACTCCAATGTTGAATCCTATCATCTACAGCCTGAGAAATAATGAGGTGAAGAATGCCCTCGGCAGGACCTTCCATAAGGTTCTAGCCTTCAGACACCATGTCTCCCTATGCAGTAAGAGGTAAGACTATACTTTATTGAATAGAGAATAAACAGTCTCATATTTGAAATTCCTCTTTACCTCTTTTTACATCTCCATTGGGATGAAACCCAATGGTAAATGGCTTTTTGAAAGCTCGGTAGAAAAGAAAGGACACAAAAGTATTTTAGACCTGTTACTACCACTTACAACATCTCCTCCAGTTGTCCATTTTATACTTTTATTCTTTTTGTTGTAAATTCAGTTGATATATCAATACCTCTATGATAAAGTATTTCCAGATATTACATCTTTTTCACATACATTTTGAACTGTATATAATATGTCATGTTTGTAAGATGATGGGAAGACTTTTGTTGGTCATGAGATTCAATGCTATATGCTTTGGTTCAAAAGCTGCACAAAATAGGGGTACCAAAATCTTAGGAAGGAGCCTTAGGTACAGGCATGCTTTTTATATTGTTATTAAAATTTTTCACAGTGCTTCCTGATGGCTGAGCCTAGGGACATTTACCTAAATGTTGATGGTTATCACTTTTTGTCATGGTTTGCCTTTCCCAAGAAGGACTTTCACATTACATATAGTGAAATAATTCCCCAATTTTTCAGTAGTATATGAAAGATTAATAGATAAATGCATAGTGCAACTGGGAATTGATGACATCGAGTAGAGAGGTATAAGCCAAAATTAATTCTAAGTAATTTTAGGAGGAAAATTTTATAGAATTTTATAGTGCATTACATGTGGGAAAATGCACTGCTCAAGAGAGGAGGACTAATTCTGAACCAAGACCAATTCCTGTGGTAGAACACAGGTGTTCTAATAAAGTCTGTGAAAGATCCATAAAAGAAGTGTTAAAGACATGATTTTTTTTCTACAGAAGGTCAAGCCTAAAGCTTTTACATTAGTATCTCTGTTATGCATTCCCTTCCACCTTCTAAGAACATCTTCTGCCAACATGCTGGAATTAATCTTTCCTCAGGACCGCAGGTTTTCATCCCAGGCCAGGTTCTCCAGGAATCAAATGTGGAGCCAAGGATTCAAATGAGATTGACTTACTGGAGAACCCATTAACTAATTAATGAAAGTAGATTAGGAACAGAGAGCTAAGCAAAAGTGCAATTTCAGGTGAAATCCCAGTCTCAGCCTGACACATCAGGGAACCCCAGAGCATAAAACAACTCTCGGTGTGTTTGTTCTGTGTTAGGTCACAGGAAGTAAGGTTGTTTACTTCTGCCGCAGACATCTGCTGATTACTGGAAAGTATGGGGTGGTAAGGAAGGAGAAAAGAAATGCCAGGTCACTCTGTCTCCTATAGAGGTCCCAGGAAACACTTCACAAGACCTCAGATACAAGCTTTCATAATGGAAAGTTGTCCTGAGCATTCTTGTCACGTTCTCATTCCCTCTCTCCCTCGCTCTCACTCTCTCTCACACACACACATTTTTGGAGGTGATGGATATGTTTATTACTTTGATGAAATTGAAAAAGTAGAGCTTGAGAAGCTGAGGAAAGGTATAGCATCAGCACAGTTGATTCCAACATAGGGTTTCCTTAACCGCAAAATGAGTTCTCATTCTTTCTATAACTTCATAGTACTCTGTTTTGTAGAGATGGCACACTATGTTTATCCAAAAGGATTGAAGAATAATTTTAACAGTGGCCACTACAGTCCTTTAAGAATTAAAAAATGAGCATAGGGAAATCTCTAAAAATAGAACATGTGTGATGACCTCTCTATGATCAACATCAACTCAGAACAAGTTGCTGACATGTCTATTTTTTCCAGATTATTCCACATGTAATCTCAACTAAGCACAAATATTCAAATTCATCTCCCAGAAATATAGATTACCTTATCAAGAATAATATCACTAACACATAAGTAGAAAACTAGTTTCTTATTAAATCATCATTTTGAAGACATCTTGACTTTTCACAATGGACTCAAAACCATACACTATTACAGTGAGCAGTGATAGTTCTTTTTCTTCACCACCCGCTTTGATATTATCTGCTTTGGGATTGCTAGAACTGAGAAAGGAGCTATAGATTATTAATTTGCCTCTAAAATCTTCTATCCTAGCCATCCAAAAATATTGCTGAAACCTTGGGGTTGCTTCCATTAACATCTTCATCAAATTATTATCCAAGTACCACATGTTCATAGTTTATGTCCAGGGAAAGAAGACATGGTGGCAGTATTTTTCCAGCTACATAATTTTTTCTAGTTACATGTTCATCACAGCTATAATTTCACATGTTTATGTGGTTCTTTAATGTTTGTCTTCCTGTTCCACGAGGAAGTGTTCCATGAGGCCAAGAGCAACGTCTATTAAATTTGCCACAGAATCTCTAGTGTCTAGCATAGATTTGGCAGCCAATAAATATTTTTTGACTGAATGATAAAATATTTAAAGGAAGAAAATATTTAAAGTTCATTGTCCATTAGAGCTTCCGATAGAAGTGTTCTTCCTCCATATGGTAAAGGGTGGAATTTGAGAGAGGGAGAGGAAGCATGACAGAGAGAAGTCTGGTAGTCATACTTATTCTCACATTACCTCTAACTGTAATTCAAAAGAGCCATGGAGGGTCCTTGAATTTAAAGTAAATACTAGACAAAGAAAACAATCACCATGGGGAATAGTAGCTGTGCTGCATTCAGCATGACCAGGTGTCAGGTTAACTAGACAGAGGATCACAGAGGAATGACATTGCCTAGATTAAGGAAGCAGACTCAGATTAGAGATTTTAATGTGAGGAGACCAGCGGATACTCTGTCCACTAACAAAGGTGGAAGCAGAGGCAGAGGCCCAGATGTCTGGTTACTCCAAGAATTCATAATCAATGGTGATGTGATCAATTAATCATAAACATGTGCAGTTTCGTGAAAACAGGATTTCATGATGAAAGAGTTTAAACATAGAAAATCAGGAAACAATGGGAAGTTTTGGTGTTTACAAGAAAGACACATTTGCTTAGAAGCTAGGATTAAGAAAACAATATAATATGGGGGAAACTTGAGGGATACTAATTATTATTTTTTTTTTGACAGGCAGAGTGGGCTATTAACTGGAGACCACAGCATTTCCTTAGCTGCTTCAGCATACATGTCAAATGATTTTTGCCATTGTCAACATAACTTCACCCATCACCTTTGCAATCTGGCCAGGCAGAATTCCAGCCACGTTGTAGTCCCCAACATAGCTGTTGTTTTTTCATCCATAGAATCACATCTGTCTTAGAAATACTGTTATCCATGTAAAGTTTCTATACAACAAAGTACAAGATGAATGTGTCATCCTCATCAATCAAAATAGAAAATACCAAGTTAGTAGGTAAGACTGAGACACATGGTTAATATGTTAAAAACCTCATGGGAAAATTCAGGTATTTACGTACAGGCACCATACCAGATACCAAGCAAACAATAACAAGCCATATACAGTTATTGCTTTTGGTAAAGAAACATGCGATAAAACATTTGTTTCAAAAGTACCATGAGGATTGTTCAGATGCCCATGAGAATCTTTGCATAAAGATTCATCTTTATGAATCTCTTATCATCTTGGGCAGATTTTATTCTAAAGCATTAGCTTCTTCTTACTCATGCAACATCAATTTCTATTCCGAAAGGTTTAAGATTTCAGACTGCTTGACATTCATCTCCTCATCATAGCATCGGGTTAATAACCTCCACAACCACCAAACTAACTGCTCAGGGTTTTTATTAACATTCTTCACTTGGTTTAGATCATTATTAATAGATTCTCTTCCCCATGCCTGATAACTTCTCCAGAGTCCAGTTTAGAATCACTCCTGAGAATGAACCCAGTGAGAATCACAATGAAGGCAAACCTAAAAAAAAATGCACTCTCCTTTATTATCTCCTGGGCCTTCACTTTGGAGGATAGATAGATCACTGTGTTCTGTCCCCTTGCTCTTGTTAGCCTCACAAATGTAAGAAAAGTTTCAGGTGCCATCAAGTCCTTCCTCCAATTTTAGGACTTCAAATTCTTCATGAATCTTTGTCCCCCTAGGAATTCCTCAAACCTCATACCTCTCGGAATCCATTACTTTATCTGAAGAAAAGGAAGCATTGGGAGAATCTCTTCCCTGCAGTAAACATCAGGGAATGAAATAGTCCTGAGACCCAGGCTGGAATCCTCAAGAGTGATTGACACAGGCCCAGCCCAGAGCTTCTCTGGGGTGACAAAGGCTACACAGCTCAGAGCTTCTTTACAGGGACTGACCCAGCCTCAGCCCAGGCTTTATCTGTGAGATCTGGAACAAAGCTTCATGGAGAATGTGCCAGAGGCACAATCCACAGTTGGCCAGCAATGTGGACTGAGATGAGCACAGCCAAGAGTGTCTTGAGAATGACTGACACAGATGCTGCTTGGGAAGTCTCTGCAATGGCTTGCACAGGAAAATCCATAATTTAGGACTCCCTTGGAGTGACTCGTTAGAAATACTTTCCAGAGTGACTGATACAGACCAAGACTTTTCTGGAATTTAAAGACACAGTGTCATTGTAGGAGGTGAGTAAAGGATGACAGGTGGAGCGCAGATGTGAAATCTCATGTAAGGAGAATGATGGCTCACTAACCTGTGTCTTTGAGACATTTCTCTTCTTAAGCACAAGAAAAAAGATTAGGTGTCTCATGTAAAGAATATGGAGTTTTACTGGACTTGTCAAATTAGGAAACTGAGGAAGGACAGAAAGCAATGATTTTATATATGCATAAATATAATGATTTATATATATACATATAGGGAGTACTGTACACATAGAAGACTCAGTGTTTGTTGATCTATTATCTCATTTCACTGATAACCACCCTGTCAGGTAGTTAGGGCTTTTATTACCACTACAATTTTGCAGTTGAGAAAACCATAAAAAGGTACTTCAGGAGCTCAGTGCTTCACAGCTAAAAAGCGATAATAAGTGTGTGATAACTAGTGACAATACTCTACATTATAATTTTATCAATAATAATAATGACCAGAATTCAAAGTTGTCT